TTTTTTTGTAAATTAGAACCATTTTAATAACTTGGGGGGGGGGGGTTCTTATGTCAAGATTTAATAATTATCATTACAACTATTGACCAATGTTACGCAAAATTGAATAGTAAGAAACAGACTGCATGCATGCGGGTACGTCATAGTTAAATGAATCGGTTCGAAAAGAATACGACGTTATTTTATGTTCATTTTTTTTTGTTGACGTGTGTTATATGGTTTCATATTCTGAAACGTTATGTTTTGATTAAATAAATGCTTGGACCGCAACTAAATTAAACCATGATAACGATATACAATCTTGTGTTACAATTTGTTTATTTGCAACTGAATTTGCAGGTAGGTCTTCTCAACGTCGATGAATATTACGATTCGTTGTTATCGTTCATCGACAAGGCCGTCGACGAAGGTTTTATTTCGCCCACCGCTCGTAGAATCATCGTCTCTGCTCCGACCGCCAAAGAATTGGTCAGAAAACTAGAGGTACGTATACGAACCTTTGATCGACAAAATATCGTATCGCTGATCGAGTTACGTATATACTTTTCGGTTTTCTGTAACGTTTGAAATTTCGTTTAGAAATATGAACCGGAGTACGATGAGGTAACGTCGAAGTTGGTATGGGATGAAGTGGACCGGATAAATTACGTACCGGGATCGGAGGTAGCTACATGACTGATTATATATCTCCGGCTATGCTAGGGGAGAAAGATATATTTTTGGGATTTTTTGGTGAAATGATGCAGTGTACGGAGGGACTGGATCGACGAAAGAAAAACATTTTGGGGAATGAGAAAGAAAATGGAAATGTAGGGGCTGTTTTATAATATTGGTCTTTTTGGTGGTCAGTCTGTGAGTGAAACCATATGTTACTTGGTGATCATCAGTTCCATTCCATGCATTCGTCTCGACATTTTGGTTCTGCATAAAGTTTTTAAAAAAAAAGAGAGTGAAAGCTTTTTTTTGCTTGAATGTGAAAAAATTACAGTCGATCAGTAAAAAATGCGGTGTTTTTTACTGTAATTTTTTGGAAAATACAAATCACATTCAGGCAAAAAAAAGAAATTATAATTTTTTTTTTCTGTTTTTTTCAACATTAGAGAGCGAACGTTGCCGCACACACGGGGTGGATATTATATAAAATAAAATTATTCAGTTTTTAGATATGTCGTAAGAAGGAACAACAAATACATGTCTGGATTGGAATTCAGAGACTCAAACATGAAAAATAAAAATCCAGACAATGGATATTGGGTGATGCCTCGCTAGTTCCTGACTCAAATTTAATGGCCGAGACTACCGGATGCCTCAGATGGCGGAGAAGTACTCTTTGCTGAGCTTGGGGTCGGGTTTCATGGATTTCTCGCCGGGCTTCCATCCCGCCGGACACACTTCGTCCGGGTTTTCTTGTACGTACTGCAACGCCTGCGCCCAATCACATCCCAAACATTGTTACATCCATACAACAAGAAAGAAGAAAAAAACACATTGCCGGTTTTGACAGTTATTGTCCGGTAGGGGTGAGCCTTTTTTTTTTTTACCCGAGACCCGCGAGCCATGGGCACTCGTCACATACGAGACAGAAAATGGATGCAACGAGGCCAGAACCCGGACAGCGGGTTCGGATTCAGGTTTCTCCTACACATTACGGGATTGTTACATCCCCACGCATACCCGGATAAAGAGTAAAATTATGTTATCTCTAAACAACAATATCGTGTAAAATTATCAAAATATCCTTAAAATCAACGCAAATTAACGAAATTTAAAATTTTTCCGTGGGTTCGGGTATAATATCCATACGGAACCCATGAGGATGACACCAAGAACGACTACCCCAAAAAATCTGGGTACCCGTCTGCGCCAACCTCTATGGTTCGGTGAGTTAGCAGCTTTTGAATTCTAGAGAGAACTCAGAAATGGAAACACAGATTTTTTTTGTGTAATTCATCATTGGTTACAAATATTTATACTATGAAATCCGAGGTAAACCGGAAAACTAAACCGAACATCCTAATGACAGCGGTTCTTTGTTAAAGGGTTTTTTCTTTTTTTTTACCTGGAGGGTCCTCAATGTCTCATCAACACTTCGTCCAATGGCGAGGTTGTTAATGGTGGAGTGTTGGATGACTCCTTCCTTGTCTATGATGAAAAGACCCCTCAGTGCAATTCCCTGTTGGAAAAAGCCGAGTTCTTTGATTTACAGATGGATGCATAAAGATACAAAGACGATAAAATTGCAAACGAGAGTATAGGTCACTAGAATGCATCTATACGTCCGGTATTGTTTTCTTGAATCAGTTACCTGATCCGGTATGAGAACCCCATAAGACTTCGAGATTGATTTTGTGACGTCAGAGATAAGCGGGTAATTCAGATCGCCAAGCCCTCCTGACTTTCTGTCTGTCTGGACCCATGCAAGGTGCGAGAACTACATTGTACAAAGACACAGAAAGGAATAGGGCATGAGCCAAGAAAGAACTGAACTCGTTGATAGCCATTTCACCATGTAAGAATCCATGTAAACTCGGTCCATGTTTCAAAAGCTGTTCCAAATTTGGGTTTCTAGATCACATAACATCACGAAATATTCACATTATCGACGAACAAATCGAATTTAAAAAGCTGCAACGACACAAAATGTGGAGACAACAGAAAATGCAACTTACCACACTGTCAACCGAGACACCTAGCACTTCGGTATTAAGCTTTTCGAACTCTTGATAACGGTCACTGAAGGCAGTAATCTCTACAAGAAGCAAATAATACGATAAAAAGAAAACGGAACACAAAATGTAGGAGGATTCAGTCAAAACCAGGGCTCAGATCCCCATATCCATCCTGAGTAACACTAACCTGTGGGGCAGACAAAAGTGAAGTCCAAAGGGTAGAAGAAGAGAATCACATACTTCTTCCCAATGTACTCGGAGAGCTTGACCTGAAATCACCATTCGTTGATCATCATCAATCATCATTTCAGAACAAACATAGATTCATCAGACAGAAGTTTAAGAATACTGATCCCCTTCAAATGTAATCTCATCTCATGACAAGCATCGATTGTTTCGACACAGCAGAATGCTGAAGGAAAAACACTCATATCAAAAGAAGATCCTTAGGACAAGGTACCTTGATGAACTCCTGATCGAAAACAGCCTCTGCATCAAAATCAGGTGCCTTGTTTCCTACCAATGGAAGGTCATCCTGAAAACGCACCAAAGAAATACGATAAAGGGCACACAGTTAACCCAGAATAGCTACAAGGGCATATCCTCCAATCTAAGGTCTATCATCAATATCACTGCCCATCTTCTTCATGATGAACTTATTACGACCGCAAGATGAAATGTCATTCAAATTTGAACTTTTATAGCAATCCGCATTACAGACAAGTAAGAGGGCGACAGGACAGATAGCGAAACCTTTTCACTAAAAATAAGGAAGAATACGAAATAGAGGAACTACCAAATTCTTCCCCCCCCCCCCCACCCCAAA